CACTTTTAATCCAGGTTACAATGATCCACACTTTTAATCCAGGTTACAGTAATCCACACTTTTAATCCAGGTTACAATGATTCACACTTTTAATCCAGGTTACAGTAATCCACACTTTTAATCCAGGTTACAATGATCCACACTTTTAATCCAGGTTACAATGATCCACACTTTTAATCCAGGTTACAGTAATCCACACTTTTAATCCAGGTTACAATGATTCACACTTTTAATCCAGGTTACAATAATCCACACTTTTAATCCAGGTTACACTCTTCCCTCAATGACACATTTTACAAAGTAGCTACATACTGTGCAGGTATAAAGATACATTTGTATATATTTTTGTGTACATTTATTTTTTAAGCTATTTGACTAACTTTTATTTTTTTATTATTCAATATTTTACTAACAGAATAGTAAAATAGCAACATGTTATTGTGTGAATTGCTATGTCAGTCAAATGTTCAATTTTGGAATAAAGGGGTGGAAATAAAAACGTTTTTTTTTTTTTGCCAGTTCATCGATTAATCGAAAAAATAATCGGCCGATGAATCGATTATTGAAATAATCGTTAGTTGCAGCCCTACTTGAATGTGAACAAAACAAAGGAGATGATTGTAGAGTTCAGGAGAATCAGGAACAGGTTCAACTCTATTTCCATCATGGGAGAAGAAGTGGAGGTGGTGGAGAAGTATAAATACCTTGGGGTTCACCTGGACAACAGACTGGACTGGAGCTGCAACAGTGAAGCGTCTACAAGAAGGGACAGAGCAGACTGTACTTCTTGAGGAAGCTGAAGTCCTTCAGTGTTTGCAGCAAGATGCTGCATATCTTCTATAAGTCTGTTGTAGAGAGCGCGGTCTCTTCTGCATCATCTGCTGGGGGAGCAGCACCAGAGCAAGTGACTTAAAACAGATCAACAAGCTCATAAAGAAGGCTGGCTCAGTTCTGGGGACTCCTCTAGAACCTTTGGAGGTGACAGTACAAAGAAGGATTCTTCATCAAATGAAGAACATTATAGACAACCCTCAGCATCCTCTTCATCAGACTGTCATACAACATCAGAGTGTCATACAACAACAGAGTGTCATACAACATCAGACTGTCATACAACAACAGAGTGTCATACAACAACAGAGTGTCATACAACAACAGAGTGTCATACAACAACAGAGAGTCATACAACAACAGAGTGTCATACAACAACAGACTGTCATACAACAACAGAGTGTCATACAACAACAGAGTGTCTTACAACAACAGAGTGTCTTACAACATCAGACTGTCATACAACAACAGAGTGTCATACAACATCAGACTGTCATACAACAACAGACTGTCATACAACAACAGACTGCCATACAACAACAGACTGCCATACAACAACAGACTGTCATACAACAACAGACTGTCATACAACAACAGAGTGTCATACAACATCAGACTGTCATACAACAACAGAGTGTCATACAACAACAGAGTGTCATACAACAACAGAGTGTCATACAACAACAGACTGTCATACAACAACAGACTGTCATACAACAACAGACTG